ATGGGAAAATTTATCTTTAAAAACAAAAGTGAGTGTTAAGTACATGAAGTTATTATGATAGAGGATTATACTAATCGACTATTTCTGAAATTTTTCTGTCTGGTTCAAGTAAGAATCTCACTAAAGTAACTCTTTTCTTTGCATTTGTTGCCTCCCCAAGGGTCATGTTCTAGTTGTGCACTATTTTCAAAGCTCTTCTCCCTTCCCCTAGTCACTGAAGAATTTAAATATGGGAGAAGAGGAAAGCAGAACATTTCAGCTTTTTAATTTTACCAGGATGGTCTCCAACTAAACACAATTAATTATTTTTCTGACCTTTTCTTAACTGAAATATCCCAGTCACTTCCTTTGCAAACACTCACCTAAACTTTAAATAAATCACCAAAACTAAAAAATAAGTCCATAAAACATCCAGGAACTTGGAATATGAAAGGCAATTTGCTTCCTATTACTTGAAAGTGCTTCTTTGTGCTGGATGAGTTAGAGAGGTCAGACATTTACTCTTTATTCATTCCTCTTTCTCAGAGCTAGGAATGTGATTTTAATTATGTATTAAAATGAAAAAGTTTACCTACCATTTGGGATTCATTATAATAAAATTCATAATAAAGAAGGGAGTGGCCTGCCCAAGTCCATCCTGGTTTTACTGTTTTACTACTGAAAATCCTGTATCCTGTGAAGTCTTTCCCTTTGATGCAAAAAAATTGTGGCACCCACGATTTGCAGTTCATAATAATGGATCATTTATTGTCGCATTACACTGAATGATACCATGGAAGTGTGTTGTAATCATGAGCATTAACAGTCGTCTTTGCCCTTTGGAAGATCAGATGAGAATGAGAACACTAGGATACCAACACCAGAATGCCCCCAAAGTTCACCATTAAGAAGGTTATAGTTATTATATATGGAAATATGTATAATATATATTATTATATACTTTAGTATATAATGATGTTATTATGGGTGGATGGAAAGACACATGGGTTAGGGTATTAGATAACCAAAAGAGACTAGACTGTACAATATGCAGAAAAGAATTTAGGATTGGGCATTGTTACGGATTGAATTGTATCCTACCCCCAAATTCTTATGTTGAGGATCTGAGCCCTAGTACCACTGAATGTGACTTTATTTGCAAATAGGGTCATTACAGATGTTTTTGGTTAAGTGAACATGAGGTCATAGGTGAATAGGATGGGTCCTTTAATCCAACATGACTGGTATCCTTATAAAAAGGGGAAGTTTGGACACATACATGCACGTAGGGAAAATGCCATGTGAAGATTGGAGTTGGGATGCCTAGAAGCCAAGGAACTGCAAGAAACTAGGAGAGAGGCCTGGAGCAGATCCTTCCCTAGAACCTCCAGAAGGAGCATGGGCCTGCCAACACCTTGATCTCAGACTTCTAGCCTCCAGAACTGTTAAGACAATACGTTTCTGTTGTTTAAGCCACCCATCCTGTGGTACTTTGTTATGGCACCCCCAGCAATCTAATACAAGCCTGCTAGAGATGGGGATGGAAAAGCGCCTAAAGAGACTGCGTCTCACAAGTCTGAAATGAGACAGACAAGTACATCTAAATGGAGCTGTACTTTTTTCATCTTCCAAAAAGACACTGACGCTCAGTTGAAATAATAGCAGGCATAAAACTTGGACATACCACATGGATATACACATTTTATTGTTCCCTTGACTGTTCTATGAAACCGAGTAAAGTTACATTTCCCGATTCAGAGGTTGCAACGAAAACATCCTGTCGGCGAAAAAGGGGTAAATTCTAATAACAGATGTGTTGGTTTCTCACAGTAGAGAGAGCTTATTCTGTTGGATATTCCCAATAATCGTGCTTTCTTTCCTCTAGCAGATGTTGCATGGAATGACAGCAATAAAAACATGTTTCCCTAGCTCTTAGCTCCCGGGATTTGAAAAATGGAGTTTCAAGTTGAATTTTTGACTCCTATGAAGATTATAAAGAAACCACATGAAATAACAATTGTTGATGTGTTGTTCAAAGACAAATTAGATTTTGCTCAATACATCTGCACATTTGGCAGGCAGTGCAAATGTAAACGTGGCAAATTCCATTCGGTCTATACACTTCTCACCAAAGAAAATGAAAGATACTACCTGTGAAACACCTTCTACACCTCACATAGAAAAGTGCCACAAAGAGAAGAGATTTGCTTACCTCTGATGTTGAGGCTCTCATAATGAAAGTTCTTTCTCACCTTTAGCTTCCTCAAAACCTGAAGAACCAATGACAGTTTTGACTTCACAGAAATGGAGGGAGATGGCTTCCATAGACCTGTGCCTATAAGATAGCTACAATTATTGCCAGCATGAGTTGGCCAGCCGTAAAATCATATGTGTAGAGTGTGAGGTAAAGAGAATGTCCTTCTGTAATTTGGAAATAAATCGAGGATGAGAAAACAGAAAAGTATTACATTAAATAATCAGATATTCATGTACTGTTTCTTTAAAACTGATGACTGCTGAGGAACCCGTAAGCATCTACAAAAGGATGAACTATTAGCACCTCTGTTAGTTAATGTAGTCTGAGGGTTGTGACAAGCATACAATGGAAGAATGGCTCATTTGGGGAAATAAGACTGCTTCTGAACTCAAAAGCATTACCAGAAAATGGTAGCCACATTGAACAGGATTTTCTTCACTAGAACTGTAACTTATTTGGAATCCATTTTGTATGCTTTGCAGTATTGAAAAAGGATGGCTATTTTAGAAGTGGATAGTTTATATGATGAATTTGTACATGCAAAAGACCTTAGAGACAAATAGCTGGTCTATCAAAACAAGCCTATAGATACAAAGTGGATGGACCTTTTCAGAGAGCTGGGAACTTAATTCTTGTAACTCCAAAAAGCCTGCTGTTGCTAGTAAAAGTCTCAAGTATTTTATGCTCACACCTTTGTTAAGAAAATATTTAGGTTGAGGTCATCCTATTGGAGTGATACTGTAATGTGGATTCCTAAGAGCAGAGCTACAAGTCAAAGTAATTTTATGTTGGACTGTATTTCATTCTTGAAAAAAAAATATGTGTGTGTGCGTGTATATGTGTGTGTGTGTGTACTTGCTTGTGTACACGCACACACACGCGCACACACACACACCAAAGGCTGTAGGCAGTTCAGAGAAGTAATACTGGAAAAAGAAAAAGAAAAATCTGTATTGTGGATAAGAAGATGTCACTATTATTTTTTATTAAATATAGGTAACAACTATTTAATTAGTCCCATTGTATTTACATTCTCCTTTTACAAAGTCTCAGATTTATGTCTGTGAAAAATATATAATAATGTAGCCTCCTAAATTTAAATATCCAAAAGAAAGTTAAAAGGGCAAAAGGAAACCTAAAAATATTACAGTTTCACGCATTTTATTTGTTAAATTAGTCCTATTTTTTTTTCTTTAATTTTTTTTTTTCAACGTTTATTTATTTTTGGGACAGAGAGAGACAGAGCATGAACGGGGGAGGGGCAGAGAGAGAGGGAGACACAGAATCAGAAACAGGCTCCAGGCTCCGAGCCATCAGCCCAGAGCCCGACGCGGGGCTCGAACTCACGGACCGCGAGATCGTGACCTGGCTGAAGTCGGACGCTTAACCGACTGCGCCACCCAGGCGCCCCAAATTAGTCCTATTTTTAATTACGACTAATTACCACTATTAACTAATCTTGTTTGTTTAAATAAAAGCTTTTATTGTAACAGAAAAGTAAATAATACAGAAAAATATATAATTTCAAATAAACACCGACTCTTCATATTTCCATGATAAAGTCGTGACACATGTACATAGTTATTTCTCCTATGTTGTCATGTGTGCTTGGACTGGTATGGCTATGCCTCTCTTGACTTGAGGTAAAGCCAGTCACCCCCTGTGCACAGTACTCACCTTGCCCACTGCCTTTGCCCCTTTGTCCCTCCTCCTTCCGTTTCTCCTCATCACACGTTTCAGTTTCCCTAAGGCCAGTGAGTTTGAGATTATAAAAAGTTCTAGATTAGTCTGGAAAAGCTAATTCTTGAAACCAGCTCTGAATTTTTAATCTCTAAAATAATTTCCGTGGAGAAGAACTGAAAACCCTTCAAATAAAAAGGGTTTTTTTGTTTTTTGTTTTTGCTTTATATTCCCATTTGGAAGGCAGCATGTATATAGCTTTTAGGACTGAAGTTCCATGTATACCTAATGTTTTGGGGCAGGTAGGATTATTTCTTTTTATGTACAATCATAATTCTGATTTAACTGGAAGTGGTGGAATGACTCTATTTACCTAGTAACAGTTTTTAAATTACATGAATTTTTGGAATGTATACGTTTGGTGTTCTTTCTAATGCTTATTAACTCTGCTCTACTTTTCCTATTATTAAACTCATACAGTGTACCAGGTATTATGTTTCTAAATTCAGAAAGGTCCTGAAAGTATGGGTTTTAGCTGTAGGATCTTCCGATTGACAAATATTTTTTCAGGTCAAATGTGATAGATCAGTTTTAGCATGTGTTGTTACATTTGGCAGATAAGCATCGGCTCACAGGCTCACATGTTGTTAATTAGGATATGAAGTACACTTTTGAGATTTTAAGGTGCTTTCATTAATAGATATAAGAATGAGTTTCTATTAGGTATTTAATTGCTCTAAAATTCCTCAAGTGCTGAAATTCACACTACTTTGGTAATTATTTCTACAGCAATTTGAGGATGCCGTTACTGATGGCTATTTGCAGAATTCATTAATTCAACATGAGACAACAGCTTAAAATCTGTTTTTATAAATGAACATAAGTGTATACAATATGCTATCTTTTAAAAATAATGTAGAATTCTAGTGACATTTCTAATTTCTCATGAAGAAAATTAGGAGACTTGGTCTGTTTTGACATTGATTGTTATTTTATGCTGAGAAGTTATTGAATGTTCCTTTAATATTTGGAAATTTTGATAAGAATGGCCTCCCTGACATCATGTTTTATGTTTATCATCCAGAAGGATGGAGTACTGGCATACATTGGGAATTTTCGCCTGCTTGCAGAACTTTCCAGCCCCTTTGTGAATCAGCGGTAAGTTACTGATATCATTATTTTACACTTATGCTGTTTACCTTTAGTTTGGGGAAATTTTTTTCCAAGATCCTAAAGCTACTAAATAAAAATGAGAATATGTGATATGAACTGTTACCACCATTGTGCAAGTGAGGAAAGTAAACGTTGGAGGGGTTGGAGAAACTTGTCCAAGATCCCCTAGCTAGAAAGTGGTGGTCCTAGCGTTTGAACAGAGCTCTCTCAGAAAGGTGATGATGCTTTATTATACTTGGGTTCATCTTGGGTCCTGTTCATATTCTTTTTTTTTTTTTTTTAAGTTTATTTACTTTGAGAGAGAGCATGTGTGAGCACTTGTGTGCATGCGTGCGAGCAGGGGAGTGGCAGAGAGAGCGTGGGGGAGGGAGGGAGAAAGAGAGAATCCCAAGCAAGTCCAAACTGTCAGTGGGGAGCCCTATGTAGGGCTCAACGCAGGGTTCAAACTCGAGAACCATGAGATTATGACCTGAGCCCAAATCAAGAGTCAGATGCTTAACCGACTAAGTCACCCAGGTGCCTTTCCTGTTCATATTCTTGACACCAACTTACTCCTGTTCCCAAATTCTGATATTGACATTACCTGAGTTCCTCATTTAAGAAAAACAGTGTTCTAATTTTAGATTTACAGAAAAGTTGCAAAGATAGCACAGGAACTCTTATATCCTCCTCACCTAGTTTTTCCTATTGCTGATGTCTTCTTTTACCCTGGGACATTTGTCAAAACTGAGAAACCGATATTGATACATCACTCTTAAGTGACCTACAGACTTTGTCGGATTACACCAGTTTTTCCATCAGTGTTTTCTTTTTTGTTCTAGGATTCAATCCAGACTGCCACACTGCATTTAGTTGTCATGTCTTCCTGGTCTCCTGTAGTCTGTAACAGTTCTGAGTCTTTCCCTGTTTTTCTGACTTTGACAGTGTTAAGAAGTACTGTCCAGTTATTCTATAAAGAGTCCCCCAGTCTGGATTTGTCTGTTTTTCTTATGACTAGATGGAGGTTATGGGGTTTGGGGAGGAATTCCATGGAGGCAGAGTGCCCTTGTCATCACATCGTATCAGGAGGTACATGCGTCCACATGACATCAGTGGGGATTTGAACTTTCATCACATGGTTGAGGTGGTATTTGCCAGGTTTCTCCACTGTGAAGTTTTTTCTTTTCCTTACTCTGTTCTTTAAGAGCAAGGTACAAAATGTAGCCCACTCTCAAGGGAGAGAGGGAATTAAGCTCCACCTCATGGAGGGAGGTAGTTACTCATATTTGCCAATGGATTTGTAATGAGGCTTTATTACCCTTATCCTGTCATTTAACGAGGTCTACTGATGTTTTTTTTCTGTGCAGTGTTGGCTGTTCCTTTCACTCCATATCCATGGTCCTAGTTGGGGACCTTCGGGATGTCCATGGTTCACTTACTGCCATAGCCTTCCAACTGACTTCCCTTGTTCCAGGTTCACCCTCTCTTCAATCCTTTCCTCACAGTGCTGCCGACGTAGTGTTCCCTGTGTTCCATTTTCTATACCTTATTTTCTTCCAAAAACTGAATCCTGTTTAGACTCTTCTCTTTGACATTCATTGCAGCATGCTCCCTGTGTCTCCAGCCTTATTTCTTACTACTCATTAGAGTCAGGTTTGAACACTTACTGTCTCATGCACCTCTGGGTTATTCTGACGTTTCTTTCTTTATTCACATCATCCATTTACCCTCCATCTTTGAAAAATTTACCTATCTTTAAAATCTTAGGTCAAAGTCCCAAGCCAGGGGAGGCTCCCATGACTGCATGTAGCCTTTTGTGACGTAGTATAGAGATAACCCAGAGAATTGAAACTGTCAAATCAGACTCACGTGAGTTAGAGAATATATCCGGTATTAAACCTTACTAATAATCTCAAGGATCCTGATACATCAAAATGGCTCCCTGGGTCCTTTTTGCATTGGGCACACTCTGGAAGTTATCTATGAGGGCCATAAACAATATGCATAGTTCATATTGCGGACATAGAAGGACCTTTCTTGGTTATGACACATCTCCATATAATACTCAGATAATTACATAACTTATGTAACATTCCCCAGAGGGTCAGGCCCCATAAATCTGTACATCCTAGGTTTGTTTGCCATAAGCAATCCTAGAGTAGGTTAAGTCCTAAAAGCATTCGTGGATGAGACTCTCCAGCAACACATACCATTAGTCTATTTATCGGGAGGCCTGTCATTAGTATGCTTACCAAGCAATTAGCCTGATCTTTTTTTCTTGCCAAAGGTGGTGGGGGAAGGGGGAGGAGTGGTCCTTCCACCCGCAAAACAGGAAAGAATGGGTTATAGATCTGCTGCTTAACCTTTTCTTTCCCAAGTGCTTATACACTATCTTATTTTGTATGCCACTGTTGCGGATGGTGTAATCTTTTTTTAACATTTACTTATTTTTGAGAGAGAGAGGGAACATGAGCAGGAGAGGGGCAGAGAGAAAGAGACACACACACAGAATCTGAAGCAGGCGCCAGGCTCTGAGCTGAGAGCACAGAGCCCGACGCGGGGCTCCAACCCATGAATCGTGAGATCGTGACCTGAGCCAAAGTTAGACGCTTAACCGACTGAGCCACCCAGGCACCCCTATGTAATCTTATTTTTTGAGGAAGATAATCAGTTCCTTGGGCTCTGCCATTTAATTTTTTAAAATAATAATTCTTCTGCAATCCTCAAAGACTGAAATCATGGAAGTATAGAGCAAAGAGCACGTTCTTTGAAGTCAAAAGACCCACATTCAGACCCAAGCTCTCCCACTTACCATTGGACATGAGTGGAAGACTATTTAATCTCTCTAAGCCTGGTTTCTTACCTATAAAACAGGGATAACGATGCCTATAGGCCTCACAGTTTGTTGTGAGATTCAATGAGATTTCATGCTTGCCGTTTGGTATATGTTCAATAAGTTCTAAATGACGTACATATTCAGTATGCTAAACTGGAAGTGCATAGTCTGTGCTTACTTTCTCTACTTTTTTGTATCTTTTTTGCTCTTTAACTCATTAAAGTTAGGCTTCCTCCTCTGTCATTCTGCTGGAACCGCTTCATTAGAGGCACCAGTGACTTCTAGTTGCAAAATCTAGTGAACACCCTTGGTGCCTGTCTTGTGTCTCTCTGTGGACTCGATGCTATTCCTCACCTCCTTCTAAGGCCCAACTCCCTTTGCTTTCATGACACTGCACTCATCTGGTCCTTGTATTTCTCTGACCATCCTCTCTCACTCTCCTTAGTAAGAGACAGTTCCGTACATGCTGGTGTTCCCTGAGGCTCTCTTCTGGGCCCACTGATCTTCCTCTGGGGTGGCCCAGTGCTTCTCCCTGGGGTGAGTTCTATTTTCAAGGCAGCAGCGATTACCTGTTTGCTCATTTCGGCATAATGAGCAATGTGTGAGTTTTAAAATCAGATACACTCAAGTTGCAATTCAACCTTGCCACTTACCTGCCCTGACCTTGGGTAAGTTATTTAACATCCCTGTACTACAGTTGTTTTCTCCTTAAAAAGAACATATTTAATACTACGCACTTCTTTGTGTCTTAGTCAAGTGTTTTCTCCTCCCAGGTGGCACATCAAATTCAACATGTCTAAAATAGAATGCAACATATTTCCCTCTGTAGTCTCATATCCTCTCGTTCAGCATGTGGCCCAGCCATTCTTGGTCACTCCCGCTCGATATGTGGGAATCACCTTTGACTGTTCTCCTTACCCACATTTGGTCCATCACCAGGTCTTACCAGAAAACCTCCTAAATATTTCTTGCCTTGGTCACTGACTCTCCATCTCTACCGTCAGTGCCCTCGATCATCATCTCTTGCCTAAGCTACTGTACCAGTACTCTAACCCTGTACTACCCAGTAGGGTAACCACAAGCCACATGTAACTATTTTAACATTTAAATTAAGTTAAAAATTCAGTTCTCAGTCTAACTTGTAACATTTCAAATGCTTCACAGCCCCATGTGGCTAGTGTCTACTGAATTGGGTAGCACATCCATAAACCATGTTCGTTACTGCAGAAAGCTTTTTAGGACAGTGCTGTTCTAGACTGCAGGTTGGCAAACTAAGGCTCGAGGGCCAAACCCATTGCTGTTCTTAAGCAAATGAAGTTTTATTGGGGCACAGCTCTGTTCACTTGTTTACATGACTGCTGATACACTGCAACAGCAAAGTTGATTGTGACAGAGACCATACAGCTTCCAAAACCTCTTACTTTATGTCTACTCTCTCTTTGTGGAAGAAGTTTTGCTGATCCCTGCTCTAGATCGTCTACCTGTCTCCGGTCCTGTTCCCCTTTTGTCTCTCTTCTCTATCAGTATCTTCCATGATGATCCCCCTAAAACCCAAAAACGAACATGCAGCTTCCCTGGTTGAATCCCCTCAGTGGCTCCTGCTGCATTATAGGATAAGATGTGGGCTCTTCAATGTGATACAAAATTTTCCAAGAATAGCTGTCTTCTCTCTTTCCACCACATTTTTCCCTCCAAAATCTCCTCTCATTCCAACTTGTCCATATGCTGAAAAGGTCTCCTGGCTCATCCTTCAAGACTCAGCCTGAGGATTATTTCCATCACTGAATCCCATCTCTTTTGGGTTGAGCTGGGTGTCCCTCACCTGTGCTTCCACAATAGTGACATACATTTACCCCATTAGGATTAGTGTATTTTATGATAATGTTCTCTCTTTCTCTCTCTCTCTCTCTCTCGCTCTCGCTCTCGCTCTCTCTCTGTTTCTTCTGGTTCATCTCTGTGTTCATTAGATCAAGGGTGCAATTTTGTTCAACTTTGCATGGTCCAGCACTCCAACATTGTCTGGCACATAGTAGCCATTTAATTGCTTTTTGAAAAAATGACCCCTGGGAAGTGATCAGTTAAACTTTAGCATCTCTTGAATGTGATTCAGATTATGAGACTTTGAAGCAGGAGAAAATTAACTGACGCTTAAAGGAACTTCAATTTGTTT